TTTTAGTTAGATGTTAGGTGATCTATGTAATTAAATATCCAATTTTGAATAATTGGGTATTTTAAAGGTAAATTATGTATGAGATTTTAATTTTTCAATTAATGATGATACGAGGTTGGAAACTGAATATACTATTTTAATTAAATATTTTTTCACAATAATTAGGAGTTTTTAAATAATGAACTAATATATAACTAGCGTGTAGAGTAAAAATTTCGTAAATACAGCGACATCATTATAACATATTTTAAACAGCCATATAATTTAATTTACTTTTTAATTAAATATGTATGGTTATAAAACCCACTTTTGTAATATTTCAACTTTTTAAACCGTTTATACTTAGGATTGTAAGAGGTGAATTATCGTGAACTTTCTACCCTAATTTAATTATATTTTATTTAATTTTAGATTTTTGATCGTGCTGAATTTTATTTTGAATCATGTTTAGTGAATTAAAAAATCCACAACTTGATGCAACCCAACTGAACAATAAAAATAATTTACTTTTACCAATAGTGGGTAAAGTTTAATAAATTAATATGAATGTTGAAGTGCAGGTAAAATTATCAATCGAGCATAGGTTCAAAAGAAGCATAAGATACAATTTCTCAGAAAAAGATGATGCGATCGAAGATGTATACGTAGAGCATGCGAAAAAGTATGAATTTGCAGATATAACTTGGTATCCATCAAGGCACACAGTGGTGTACAGATATGATTCCAGGGTTCCCTTAAATGCCTCCGGTGATGGAGTTAATGACTTCATTGGATTTCAACCCAATTCCATCTTGATATCAGAATCTGTTAGAGCAGCAGGTATTTGTTCTATTTTCTCCACTACTTCCTACAAATTTCAAGCAAGCATAATTTTTATTTTATCTTTTTATTATTCATACAAATTATACACTTTACTTTCTTACTGATAAAAGAAAATACCTTTATTCTCTTCAATGTGAAATGGGTGCAGCTTAGTTTGGAAACTAGTCAGAATTTGATTTTTCAAACTGAATTTTCTTTTGGTCTAAAAATAATGGAGGATTCAGCAAATATGGGGGAAATAACAGATGGGAAAATAAATTATTTGAAAAAATAAGGTGAACGTCATTACAAGATTGTAATATATATTTTTTGAAGAATTGTAAATATAAAACTTTTAAGAACTAAGTTATGATGACCTGTGTTTAATTAAAAGTAATAATAATAATAATATACGTAATACTTTAAATATAGTTAAATAAAATGGAAATTGATATAATTGTGTGAGAATTTAGATAAGGAAAGTTTAGTCTCTTTAATAATCTTTTTCTTATTTTACCAAAAAAAACCACATGCAGAAAAACTACTAGAGAGTACGAGAAACACGAATGGGAAATGCTTAACAGCAGCTACAACTTTGGGCTTCAAGAGATTAGTAGGAAATGGGTTGAAGAACAATGGCCAAATCTTCAGCGGCTACCCTGTAGTGGGTTACCAAGGCAAAATGCAAACTTCAGGTTCATGCTTATATTCAACAAGATTTGACACATCATGTGCTTGGGATCCACGAATCAAAGGGCTATTTTTCTATGAGAGCACTGCAATCTTCCCTGCATCAGCATTTGTAGACTTCGTCCGTGACGTGAGAAAACTGAGAGACCTAAAACCAGAAAATTTCTGTGGGGTGGACAACTATAACGGGTTGCTAATTCGCTTCATCAAAGCTTCAAGTGCATATCTAGGGCAACCTGAGGACTCAGTTGTGGTTGATTTCAACTATTATCGTGCAAACGACCCTTCAAATCCTAGACTAATCCAAGATCTGTTGGAGGAAGTGGAGCAATTGGCCTTCTTCAAGTATGGGGCTAAGCCACATTGGGCTAAGAATAGGAATGTAGCATTCCTAGGGGTGCAGCATAAGTATCCAAAGTTTGACATGTTCATTGCAGCAAAACAAAAAATGGATCCTCAAAATGTGTTCTCCAGTGAATGGTCTGATGCTATACTTTATGGGAAGGAATCAGAAAAAGTTGATGGGTGTGCGTTGGAGGGACTCTGCATATGTAGCGAAGACAGACATTGCAGCCCACAAAAAGGGTTTTACTGCAGCCATGGCCTTGTCTACAAGGAAGCTAGAGTTTGTAGATATTCACAATCATCAATGTCACCGTCATCAACCATAGCATGATGTGTCTTTTTATGTCATATAATTGTTTTAAACTGTGTCCACTTGAATAAAAGTGTGACATTATTTATAACATATATATGACTACAAATGCAGTAAATAAACTACAATATCCTGCTAAATAGTTTGATTTAACATTCAGAGTTCTATATCTTCATTTCAAATACGAAAAACGAAAATTATGTAACTAAAATTTGAAACTATTTAAAGTAATTTCAATTTGAATATGAATATGAATCTTAACTCCAAACCAAACATTTTTGGTGCTCAGTTGATGATTCTGCCTTTACTTTTCTTCTTGGCCCATCAATCGATTAGAGAATGAAAGTCAGTTTTAGAGTTTGCTTTGTCAGTGCTGATAAAATAAAATGTTTGCTTTCAATATATGGAAAAATTTGGTTGTTAATTATTTCAACATTTTTGTTTAAGTCGAAGCATATGTTTGGTGAGATTTAATTCGAGTGACTGAGAGAGAAAATTAAAAAAAAAAGTAAATTCGTAATATAAAATAGTGTTGCTTCATAATCAATCGATACTCCTACAATGCTATTCTTACAAGCAACAACAAAATGTTATCAAATGCTTTACGCATGCATAGGAATGGAATTTTCACGAATTCACATCACTTGCAATGTTCAAACACTTCAAAATAAAATTTTGAAATTAAATAAATATAATAATTTATTTTATTTCTTTAGGGAAATTA